CTCCTCCGAGTTCCTTCTTATCTCCTTTAGCTGGTGCCTCCCACATGTCCAAATAGCCATTCCTTGCTCAGATTTCAGTGAGGCATTTTATTTTTAAAAAATATTTTTTGGTGCCGAAACCGGTTTGGCTCAGTGGATAGAGCGTCGGCCTGCAGACTAAAAGGTCCCAGGTTCGATTCCGGTCAAGGGCATGTACCTGCACATCCCCCACTGGGCGGCTGATCGATGTTTCTCTCTCATCGATGTTTCTGACTATCTCTCTCCCTTCCTCTCTGTAAAAAAATCAATAAAATATATTTAAAAAATATTTTTTGTTGATTTTAGAGAGAGAGGGAGGAGAATCATCGACGTGAAAGCAAAACATCAACTGGCTGCCTCCTGCATGCCCACTACCAGGTACTGAGCCTGCAAACCTGGTATGTGCCTTGGAATTGAACTGACAACCTTTTGGTACACAGGACAACACCCAACTGAGCTCCACTGGCCAGGGCTTTGAGTCATTTAAAAAAAAACACAATCGAAAGCTCTAGCAAAGCTCATCAACTGGGGCTGAATCCCCAAATCAGTATCTATAGCTTTTCTGTGGGAACATGTAGGTGAAAGCTGAGCTCCTGGCATTCTGAGAGCCTGAAGCCTTAGTCATGAAGACTTCACTTAATCCCCCTTTTGTTTGGCACCTTACCTCTGCCCTCTCTCTGATACCCTGGGGGGTGTGGGGTATAGCAGGTGGCAATGGGAAACCTGGGGAGGGGCCAGAATGCTCTTCATAGCATTTAATTCCATTTTCACTTATGCCCAACCTCTCTGCCTCCATGGTTCCTGGTGCTCTCAGTGGCTGAGACTTTTTAAGGATTCTTTCGGGTGAATTGGCTTGCTTTTGTTATCACTTCATCCTCTCCTACCCCCCAAACTTGGCAAAGGGACTTCTCAGCACTCTTTTATCTGGTTTCATTCTTTGTATGTTATAGTTTGGAATTATCAAGATCTCTAGCTTTATCTACAATAGAGTTAGTATTTTTACTTTTTCTGATTTTTAAATGATCACAAAAGACCATCATTTAGAAACCAGTGATCTTTGTCTAGTCCTTGGCCTGTGAAGAGCCAACTTTGTAGGAACAGGGTGTAACAGCTGCATACCTGGCTACACTGTCAGCTGCTTCCAGGTGATGGCCCTATTATGCTCATGTGCCCTAATGAGCAGGACGTAGAACCTTTTTTGCTTTCCTTTGCTAGGTACTTTCTATAAAACCCATTTCTTTCTGGTTTCTGTCAGTCACTCTCTCCTCCCTAGTAATTTTCTGCTGATGTGACCCATTTATTGGAGTTTTTGTCACTTCTAGGTTCCATGTCACATCTCTTTCACCCCAGCCAATTTGGGTGACATGGAACCTAAAGTTGTTCACACGAACTTCATCTGTTTTGTATCCACTCTTCAAGACCTGCTCACTCTATTTCACTCTATGGGGAAGTAGCCATTATCCAGGCCTACTTTCCTGTTCTAGGTTTGCTTATTGTTCCCACTACAAACTCCTTGAAAGTGAGGTTGTCCCATTGACAGCCCCTCAACCTTTTGACTTTTCCCTTCCTGTTTTACTGGTCCTTTGAGTACCTCAACTCCATCCTTTTGTTCCACCAATCTAGCAAAATATCAACTGTGGATTAAGTGTGATTCAATTTCTGTGCTTATTTCATTTATTGCTGATGTAAGAGCTAGATTACTTGTCTGATGAGAAGCACTGTATCTTATTCACTGTACTTAATTCCAGTACTTGGCATATGTAAGTACCTTATTGAATGCCAGATAGTACTTCACAGGAGGGCCGAATACATTGTAGAATGGATGCATTTGGTAAGGCATGGAAGATCACCAGAAAAGTCAAGTGCTAGATGGGTGAGTACTGTTAGCATCAGCACACAGGAGTGGCACTAGTCTTTATTTTAAGAAGATCAGAAGGCATAAGCTTGTATCACTTGATTATCATCTGAATTCTTTATACGTGACCTCAAATTATGCAATTATTTTTTACAGGCAACAAACAGACATTTTCCACAAACGGTTACAGGGGCATATTTGAGTGGTGTTCGAGAAGCAAGCAAGATTGCGGCATTTTAAATGGATTTTGTCTGGACCCAGCTTTCTTCTGTACCTCAAATGGGAAAGTTTGAAACACGTTAACCTCACTTTCATAAAATCAAACAAAAACCTCTCTGGATAACAAAACTAAAAATGTTTCTAAGGTGGTTTGATAATGTAAACCCATGTCACCACTCTGAAAGCATTAGCCCTAAGAACCAATTTATAAGCACTTATATTTTATTACATTTTCCACAAGTCTAATGCTAAATCTTCTGGATTTCAGAAAAAGGTAGAATATAAACTTAAATTAAGACCTCTTTTATCTGCTTTCATTCTTTGGATATGATTCTTCCATGGTTGGAGAGTCCCTTAAATTTGACTTTTTGTTTAGCTGATCAGTTTTCACAAATTTAGAAATCAAGCAGAAATCATTAAAAAAAAATAGAGCCATGTATTTTTCTTCTATGACAACTTATCACTACCTTTGCCAATGAGCCTTAAGATTTTTGTATAGCTCCAATATTGAGCTTTCAGTTAAAATTTAGATAGAAATCTTTCCTTTTTGGATACAGCACAAACTCTTCAAAAGTAATGAAGCTTCTAGACTACTTTATATTATACTTCCCATTGGGTTTTCAAAAGAAATTTAAATTCAGGTATCTTTTGTGATAAAGATTTTAGATTTGTGCACTCATTGGCAAAAGAGCAAAATTTTCCATTCTTAAGCAGTACCAGGTTTGTACCATTGAAAATGGGGTAGAGATAGTGTGGTCTTCATACTAGACATTAACTATAGGGCTATTTTTCTTTGAGCCAAGTTTGGGCAGATGGCACACTTTAAATAGCCTTAATTTTGGCAACTACTAGCAAAAATATCTTGTCAGAATAATAGCCTCTTCACACTGTCTTTTTTATAGAATTATGTTTTCAGTATTCCATAGGCAGGTCCACTGGAAAACTGCAGGAAAATGTGAAGTCCTGGTAAATATTACATATTTTATAAGCCATATTGTAAGAGCCTGAGAACATGGCAAATACTTCCTTTCTCCTTTTTTCACTCATGACCAAAAAAAATGTCATTAAAAATAGACATTGGTTTCAGGGTCTAAAGGATGCTTAACTTGCCAAGAAATTTCAGTTTACAGGTAAAATCATGGATAACAAGTTCTTTAGTTTTAAAGTCTCTGAACAGGTTTTTCAATTATATTGGTCTGCTTTAAAAAAAAGGACTCAAATTTAAAGCCACTTTTCAAAATATTAGGTATTTTTAAAATTTAGAGTCATCTTATAAATACAAAGTATCATATGCAAAGAATGTATGGTATCTTTGGTGAACTCAGACACACTTCCACTCCCATCAAAGTATGATACAATTCAAAGAAAAATAAAGGATATTAGTTTCTATGTTAACACAGGGAAATGTTGATATTTATCTGATGAGACTCGGTACCATTTGGGGAGTGTTCTGCTTTAAAGTTAAACATTTAAAGAATAGCATGTGTTAAGTGATAAATGCAAAATATTTTACGTTTGAAATGGTTCACAGTAAATTATTACTTTAGTCTCTGGGCACTTAAACTTGTGCTATAAAGGAAAAACCTACGTAATAAAGTATGGTAAATGTATATAAAAAAAATCCTCATTTCTTGTCTCAGGTGTCTACATCTGACGTTTTGTTCTTTAAGGTACTTTCCTTTAAATTCTTGAGTTACTCTGAATGTTTTTCATTGTTCTGAAGATTTTGTAATTGAGTAGCTGTGAATATGTTTTAACTGCAGATTGTGAACAGCTTGTTGTGTAAAACTAATAAAAACTAGACTTTTTCAAATACACTTTGCATTGTAGTAATGAAAACACACTTTATTAAATAGTTACATTTTCATCCCGAACTTTACACCCACCAACTCAATCCCTTCACCTCCAAACCCTGTTTAGACCTTTTAGATCATAGGTATTACTCTATATCCCTTCAATTAAATGGTCATAAAGTAAACAACTATTAACCTTGATCAACTTACTTTTTTTAAAAATATATTTTATTGATTTTTTACAGAGAGGAAGGGAGAGGGATAGAGAGTTAGAAACATCGATCAGCCGCCTCCCGCACACCCCCCACTGGGGATGTGCCCGCAAGCAAGGTACATGCCCTTGACCAGAATCGTACCTGGGACCTTTCAGTCCGCAGGCTGACGCTCTATCCACTGAGCCAAACCAGTTAGGGCGATCAACTTACTTTTGTAAATCATTTCTGGTTTTCCCAGGTGATTTCTTTGTAGTGTACTTAGTTAATCACTGCACAACACTCTAAATTACATAGGCTATAATTTAAGTGATAAATGCAAAATATTTTACATTTGAAATGTCTCACAGTAAATTATTACTTTAGTCTCTAGGCGCTTAAACTTGTGCTACAAAGGAAAAACCTACTTAATATTAAGTATGGTAAATGTATATACTTTTTAAAATCCTCATTACTTGCCTCCAGGGCTAAGTCCATTTAAACACCCATGTTCTGAAATTCTCATATAGTGGGTAAATGCTATAAAAACCTCTAAGTTATCAAATGTGAGAGACAAAATCATTGTTCATTACTTTTATTGACAACTAGAGAGCTGGTGCACAAAATTCATGCACGGGGGGGGGGGGGGGTGGGGGGTGAGGTTTGTCTCTCAGCCCAGCCTGCACCCTCCTGCCAGCCTGGTCACCCCTAACTACCCTCCCCTGCTGGCCATCTTGTGGCTGTGGGCGCCGCGATCTTTGAGGGTGTGGGCGCCACCATTTTGCAGCCTGCTGCTCAGTGGTTTGGTCATCCCTCACTAACCCCCCTGCCAGCCTGGTCACCCCACACAGCCTGTTCGGTCGTGATGGTAGCTTAGGCTTTTAGGAACAAATTATATTTAAAATCAAAGGCCAATTCGTAGGACTTAGTTTATTTCATTCGTTTATTAAGTGTATCTTTTCCTAACATCTTAACAACTTTATCAAGAAACAAATCAAAATTGTGAAAACACCTGTTAACAATAGATGTTTACATATTTCTGTTCCATGATGCAAAGATATTTTTATTTTAAATACTCAACTGGTTTATCAAAAGGCCTAATTCTCTCAAGCAGCATGTTTTAAAATTCAGAAATTAATTAATAAACTGATTAAAACAGTCAATTTAAAAGACAAATTAGTTTCATTCAGGGGTGGCCCATATGTTGAATCACCTAGAATCCTGATTAGGCAAAATTTAAAACCCAATAGTTCTAATACTACAGACACATTAAATTTCTTTAATGTTAAAAATAAGTCTTACCATTTTTGAGAAATACTTTGTCAGAGATACTACTGCCTACACAATTCTGGCATTACACCTTGTACTTTTTGTCATAATTATAAAGGTCCTGGTTTCCTGTAAATATCAGCATTTTTTATGGGCAAAAGCAGTTAATAAAAAATCAGTCATTTATTATAAGCCAAATGTTCTTGGACTTAATCCCAATTTTCCCTAAATTTTTGAAGTTCTGTTGATTTGGTCTATCCTTAATAGAAAATGTGTCTACAGACAATGGTTGCAGAATTGAAACTAAAACTACAAATCGATGACACTTTCAAAGTAGAGAACTATCTGTTCGTGTCCTTCAGTGTTTTCTTTACTGAATTCTGACTTCCACTGCTCTGTACTACCATCTGGCTGAACACTGACATTTGAGTTTATAACGGTAAAGATACCTATCTATATGGGTTTAAAAATTGATCTCACAAAAGAAATAAAAAAACTATATACAACCAATTTGTTTTTGAAAATACAAAAATAACATCTGTCACTTTCATCATGCTGACAAATTGACATATCTATACATGCAGGAGAAAAGTTCCAATTTAGTCATCTGGACAGCTAAAGCTTGTACATTCTTAATATGATGAACACACTGCCATTGAGTTTTTACACCGACAAATGTGCTGTATTCAAAATATGTCATATACTAAATACTGCATTGGTTTCTGCATGTATAAATGCCAGTTATAATAGTTTCTGTCCTAGTCAATTAAAAATGTCTTAAGCTAATATTAACTGCACTAAAAACTATAACAGTTTAAGAATCTATGACCTTATATAAAGAAATCCAAAATGTACAAAATGCAACTATAAAAGCAAGGAACAATTACTGCCATGCAAAATTTTAAACTAAAAACTGCATAGAAATGCAATTTAAAAAATGGCAAATGCAAATTTACGTTAACACCCAAGATAAAAAAGTCAGCAGTAAATTCTACCAACACAATGCTTGCAAGGATTTAGAAAAGGAAATACATTCTCTTTGCTGGTATAATGGTATAAATGAAATCTTTAAATCCATGGAACAAGCCATCTGTCTCTGTCCTCTATCTCAAGAAATTAGCTCTTTATATTTAAAAAATGGCAAATGCAAATTTACGTTAACACCCAAGATAAAAAAGTCAGCAGTAAATTCTACCAACACAATGCTTGCAAGGATTTAGAAAAGGAAATACATTCTCTTTGCTGGTATAATGGTATAAATGAAATCTTTAAATCCATGGAACAAGCCATCTGTCTCTGTCCTCTATCTCAAGAAATTAGCTGTAATGAAAAGAGAAACATTATTTTCCCATACCAAACATACAATATTAGGTATACATGAGGCATAAAACTTTATTTCATTTTTAAACTTTATTTTACTATTGTGACCTTGGGAAATCAGTTGGGATCCATATAAACTATAGCTATTGTTGGTTTTCTCCTGCCTTTGACTGGTGGACAGAAACATGTGCTCAAGTAGTTGTGTGAGTGCTCTGAGATGCCCAGTAGACAGAACCTGTATCGTTCTCATCCAAGGTCAGGTGTTGTCACTAATGTGCAGGCTTTATTTTTTAAGCTCTAAAATGGGAATAAAAAGAAATATCTTTCCCCATCTATTTTGAGGCAATTTGAGGATCAAATGTGTTATTGAGTCAGATAGTTTGAAAAATATGCAATTCTGATATACATTTCTTTGTCTCTTATGTCCCAAATGATCAAAGTTAGAAACTGTGAATATATTTACCTCTTTAACAGTTGTTTTTATGAAACCTTTTCTTTCAGTTAAATCATAAGCAGGGTAATTTTCATATACCTGTAGTGAAAAGGAAAAACTATGTTAAAAATCCAATAATGCTCTATCTTTGGACAAAAATGAAATGTATATATAAATAGCTGCATGTATGTTCTAATAGTACTCTGGTTCACTAGAGAATTCCCTTGCAAATGAGTTTTAATAATACTCTGTATAGAAAAAATAAAGTAGCATGCAAGGACTCTGTTTTAAACTGGAAATAGCAGTTGCATTAACAATAAACATAGGCAAGGAAAACATCTAGGTAGAACTGAATTCTTTATTTTGGCAGGTCAGATATTCTTCAGAGATATTCTCATTTTCTTTTGTTATATCATCCAATTACTTATAATTCAACTTGAACCCTAGTGTACTTTACTCATTGTGCAATCCCCTCCTCAAAGCTGAATCACTCAGACCCGGCGGGTCTTAGGAGTCCTCTACTCCTAAAATCTTACTCTAAATTTCCCTTTTAACAACCTGACTAGAGGCCCAGTGCACGAAATCGTGTGCGGGTAGGGTCCCTAGGCCTAGCCTGTGATCAGGGCCATTTTCTGCCCACTGGCCAGTCCCCAGTCATGCCCCGCCGCTGCCCAACCCCGTTACCCATTTGCCATCAGGCGATCAGAGCCTGCGGGCCAGCGGGGAGGGACCGAGAGGTGGTCAATGCACCTCATAGCGACTGGTCAATCGGTCCTTCTGGTTATTACACTGTTATGGTCACTGGCCTTTTATTATATAGGATACCTGCTGCTTGACTTTACAATGACTTCTAGTCCTGACTCCATATGCACCCTGCCAGCTTCACTCCTGTGGTGTAGTTCAAGGTCAGCACACTTTTCTTTAAAGGACCATTTCATAAATTTTTTCAGCTTTTCCAGCAATACATTTTCTGTCACATCAACTATGTCAGTGGTTCTCAACCTTCCTAATGCTGCGACCTTCTAATACAGTTTCTCATGTTGTGGTGACCCCCAACCATAAAATTATTTTCGTTGCTGCTTCATAACTGTATTTTTGCTACTGTTATGAATCGTAATGTAAATATCTGATATGCAGGATGTATTTTGGCGACCCCTGTGAAAGGGTCGTTCAACCCCCAAAGGGGTTGTGACCCACAGGTTGAGAACTGCTGAGCTATGTCATTGCAGCGTGAAAGCTGCCATAGGCAATAATACTTAAATGAATGGGCATGGCTGGGTTACAATACAAAAACAGTAAGATAGAATTGGCCTACAAGCTAGTTTGCCAATCCCTGAAAATACAGTCAATCATTTACACTCCTGTCTTTTGTTCATTCTCTACAAACCTCCAAACCTGAACTGGTCTACCAACTTTTCTATGGTTAGGCCCAGAGAAAAGATTGCTGTGGGAACATGTAACCACTTTGAAGACTGATCCTGTTTTACTATTAAGTCCATGGTATTCAATGTCAGAGCCTCCCCAGCAATCCCACGTATTTCTAAGCAGTTCCTTTCATTCCTCCTGTCAATGGCAATTTCATCCACTTACACAAGTGTCCCACATTCCTGTTCTCAGCCAAGTAGTATTACAAATTTTTCAACTTTCTCCCATTTTTTTTACCTCTTCCCCTCCAGTTTATCCGTGTCTAGGTTCAACTCCCCATTTCCTGTCCCTCTGCAGACAGCCATCCCTCCTCTCCTGAGTCTTCAGCTGCTTCATTCCCAGCAGCCTAACACATGCTTGCACTTTCTCTGACTTTAGTATTTTACTAACTTGCATCCACTTCCCTCATCTATTTCCCTCCTTAGGCAAGCTGCTTCAAACAGAAGCTTAAATTCATTCACTTTCCTCATTATTCATTTACCGCCCATTTAAATTGCTCTTATGTGAACAATTATCTCCTAATTGTCCAGTCCAAAAAACCCTCAAGTCCTCCTCACTTGACCTCTCCATAGTAATGATCCCTGTTTAAAATTACATGAATGTACTCAAAAAACAAACATTCAAAGGGACAAAACTAGTTTCCCTCTACTCTGCCCTCATCCCCCCTCTCCTCAGAGGAAACCAGTTATCAGTTTGCTGTGTATTCTTCCAGATCTTCCTTGAAAAATGAGTTTATACACAAATGTACACAATGGCAATATAGTCTTTCTGCATTTAGATAAATGGGATAGTATTCTATGTTTTAAAACGTTGACAATACCTGAAAAATTTTTCCATGTTCTTTTCAACTGCTACAAAGTATTCCAAAAATATGGATGTGGTTACCAATTTAGTAATTTCCCTATGGAAGACCATTTACGTGGTTTCTGACTTTTCAGTATCAGACATGTTGAACATTACTGTAATCATTTTGTGCAGGTGTGACTATATCTTTAGGATAGACACCTAGAAATGGAATTGCTAGGTTAAAGGGTATTTGCAATTTAAATTTTAAGATATTACCTAATTGTTCTCCAAAGCGTTTACATCTTAAAGCATGAGAAAATGTTTACCTTTATCCTTGCCAACCATGAAAACTTTTATTTTTCATAAATATTTTGTCAAGCTAATAAACAAAATTATTCCCTTTTAATTTCTATCTTCCTCATTAGTTTAGGGAAGGCTATGCATGTTTTCGTTTGTTTGAAGGACATGTTTGCTTTTCCATACCCAATGCCCCATGTAAGCTGACTCCTTTTTCTTAACTGACACTACTCCTCGCCCTTGAAAATGTTTCCTCTTGGCTTTCATAGCACCACTCTCCGGCCTTGCCTCTACTACTACTCTATAGTTTCTTGTATGTGGAAATTACCTCTCCAGGACTCTGTCCTTTGCGTTTCTCACCCTTCGTCTTCTTCCGTGGGCAGCTGATCTATATTTCTGGCTTTAACTCGCAGCAATATCCTAGACTAGGTTTCTCTCCTAATTTGGAGAACTACAATGTTCAGAATTTCTCTCACTTTAATGTTCTAAGCACCCCCATCTTAAAATGTCTAGAACAAAACTCATCTTTTCTCAGAAAGTATACCTTTTATTCTGTTCCCTAACGCACCCAATTCTTATCCTACTTTTGACCAGGCTAATTGATATCTGACTTGGATTGTGCCAACCCAGTAACTTTGACTATGACATGAACTGGGTTTCTTGTCTCTCATGTTATTTTCACCAGTCTGTCCTTGATGTGTCTGGGATGACTATTAAAAAATAAAACCTGATTGAGTTACGACCCTCCCAAATAGCTCTCAATAACCTATCCAACCTCCCAATTCCCTATTAGTTCCAGGAAGAAAACCAAACTCTGTAACATGGCATACTTAGGAACTGAAAAACTAGTATTTTCTAACCTGTGACTTACTTCCAACTCTAGTCTTCAGACAAATTAAACTAATCACTATTCTTCAGTCATTATTTGTCACATTTTGTGAATGTGTCAATGTTCCTCAACTGTATGGGACAGCTAATCCTCCAAGATCTCTTCCAAGGTGCTTTTCCAGATTTCCACAACCCCCTCCCTCTCAATCCCAAGTTGGATAGTGCTGTAGCACCTTTTTCACTCTTCCAACAGAACCCTCAAACATCTATAATAATAAAAATGTAATATGCTAATTAGACCAGGCAGCCAAACGACCTTCCGGAGGAAGCCGGGGCTGCAAGGGCTGAGGGAAGCCGTTGCAGCTGCGAGGGCCGAGCCCCTTGCACGAATTTTGTGCATTGGGCCTCTAGTTGTACTCTAATTACCAAAACAGATGTTTTTCAATTCCATTGGACTTGAAAGTAATATCTCCCTAAAGCAAAGTAATGTCTTCTCGAGCTCTAACATTTATCCCAGGCCTTGATATGTAGTAGAGACTCAGTGAGTACTGAACGAATAAATTAAAAAATGATAAATGACTTTAGAAGGCATAGAATATTTCACAATTGATACATTTCAAAATTTCAATTTCATTTTACTGTAAGAAACCAAATTCTAAAATTCCCCAATATTGAGGTAGAATATGGAATCATATTCAAGACTTGATCATTTTATTTCCTGAGAAGTATCAGAATGTCACAGAAGTCTGAGCTAAGTACCTAATCTATAACAACTCTTTATCATAGTAACACTGACTGAAAATCAGGCGGGCCATGGAATTTTGCTTTGTAAAACTAACAATCTAAAGATGCATCAATAAAAAGTTTCCAGATCAGGAAAAGATAGCTTCCTATGCAGTTTGGAATGTAGCACTTTATTCACTGTGTACATTCTACTGTTATTTAAGAAACAACTCCAAAGAGCAGAGGCTTTGACTTACTTTATTTAATGTGGTTATCCCAGACCTGTAAACAGAGTGCCTGGCATGTAGTAGTTCCATAGTATGTGTTCAATGAATGAATGAATGCATATAAGAATCTGGCTTCGAACTGAATAATGGGTGAAAGAATTTTTCGAATAAAAGCAAACATATCCAAGCACCTGTTCAATTACCTTTTTGCAAATCTGTTTCATTGTAACTTCCTCCAAGTTAGCACTGGCCAATAATTTCTTTACTGTTTCCTTTAACTCTTCATCTGTAGGAGGTTTCTTCAGTTTTTTAATTAAAGGTTCATCATCTGAACTATCCTCAGATTCACTTTCTAAAAGTAAGACATTACATGTGAATAAAATTTTTCTTACATAGTAAATTACCATTCAACATATATTGGGAAAAATTCTATAAGCAGTCATCAGATTCTCAAAGGGATCCTAGATTTAAAAAGATATAAATCACCTCTATAAATTACCTATAAAACATACAAATGTCAATTTTGAAAAATTATAAACGATAAAAAACTGGTGTACTACTTCCCCCCCCAAAGTTCTGAGTTTAACTATTTTCTAAACACTTACAAAGTACGTTACAGCATGTATGTTATATCTTTAAAGTTGCTGAATATGTATAATTTCTAACATACCTTTTTTGGAACTGTTTTGATTCTTCTTGGTGGTGCTGCTATCTGCCTTTTTCACATTAGCATTCTTTACAGATTTTTTACTTTTAGAAGTGGCTTTCTGTTTAGGTTTTTCTTTTTTAGATGTCTTTTTTGGTGGCTGTTGTAAAGGAAAGCAAAGTATACACATTGATGAGATTAAATGTCATCTCTCTCTACTCCTCTTTACCCATCAACATTAGAGAAAATTAATGTTTTCAGTATCACCAATAATAAAGTATTACTAGTTAATGTTTGAGATGACTAATATGCCTAATAAATTTAATTTTATGCCAAATAAGACTAGTCATGTGAAGTCAAGAATCAAACACTAAACATGATAGATGCCCACATTTATTCCACATTAGATAGAAAACTTTATGTGCATTAATTACCTCACATGATCCTGAAAAACTCTACTACAGGTACTATTAATATGCCGTTATTTACTGTCAGTCTCTCCCAATTCATATGTAAATTCCATAAGGACAGGGATTGTTTTGACCATCGTGTTCATCTATGTATCCCCTCACTCCTAAAATAGTGCATGGTGCACAGTAGCTGCTAAGTAACTATTTATGAATATACTAGAGGCCCAGTGCACAAAAATTTGTGCACTCGGGTGGGTCCCTCAGCCTGGTCTGTGCCTTCTGGCAGTCTGGGACCCCTCGGGGGATGTCCACCTCAGGGGATGTCCCCGGGGGGATCGGGCCTAAGCTGGCAGTCAGACATCCCTCTGGCAGCCTGGGAGCCCTGGATGTCCACTTGCCTGCAGGGAGCAGGCCGAAGCTGCAGTCGCACATCCTTAGCACTGCTGAGGAGACAGGAGAGGCTCCCGCTACCACCGCTGTGCCGGCAGCTGTCAGCCTTGCTTGTGGCTGAGCAGAGCTCCCCTGTGGGAGCGCAATGACCACCAGAGGGCAGCTCCTACACTGAGTGTCTGCCCCCTGGTGGTCAGTGTGTGTCATAGTGACCAGTCATTCCCAGTCGTTCTGCTGTCAGGGTCAATTTGCATCTTACCCTTTTATTATATAGGATGAGGAAACTAAAGCTCAGAGAGGTTATTTTTGTCCACAGTCACATAACTAATACAATGAGATTCAAATAAGTCTGACTTCAGAAGCTGTTTTCTTAAATACTAACTCATAGTTGACAAAAGCAAAGAATATGTGGATAAATTAAAATGACAATATTGGTTTACAGTTACTTTGTCTCAACCAGGGTCTATGAAATTAGAAAACATGAATTCCCCAATTAATTAACATTTCCAAAGGTATAAATATTCTATATAAGCAAATATTCCAAGATAACTTAAAAATCTGATCTTTATATACTAAAAATACTGCAAATCACATGTTTCTGCAAATGTTTTACACTCAATTTCTGATCATCATTATAATTCAATCTGTTCCTTTAAGGGCAGAGACACTATGTTGAATTTATCCTTAAGGAAAATTAAAGTGTATAGAGCAACCTATTCCAAAAATTAAGTAGGCTCAGAGGCAATTTCTAAGTGCAATTCATTGGATTTTAGTGTTTATCTTTTCTCTTGCTCCACTGCCATCACTATACATATTTACTTAAGCCTAATTTCACCTTGAATTAACTCAGTAATACTGTCAGCTGGGAACCACTAAAAAATGCACTTGAGAGGTGTCAAGGAGCTGACATACTTCTAAAAGTAAAGTATATGAGTTTTTCTATGGATTTTTGCTATTTAGAGTCATTTTTACTTATTTCCTAATTCTCAGAGGTGTTTTAGATAGTAGGGGTTGCTCGAAAGTCATTAATGGTTCACCACAAATTTCTGTAATTAACTTAAATTAAGTTTTAAGTTTATTAAGCATCCACATAATTCATAAGCACCACAATAGGGCCTGAAAAGGAATACTAAAAATTCCTAAGTTCTGTTGATGCACTTAATACATAGAATAAAATCATCACTATTAAATACCCCTCTTTAGTCAGAGGGTAATAAAATCTGGACCTGTAACACATTCAAATATTTTACAAGAAACTAAGTTATTATTATAGAAAGGGTTGGAGAGAGTGAGCAAGGGGAAACAATGTTATAAACATTATTATTTTATCCTCAAATTAGATAATTTAAGGCTGCCATTAAAATTTTTGAAGGCACACACAGTATGGCACCATTTTAAAACTTGCAGGTTGGGAGTAATAATAGTTTTAAAATTTGCAGTGATAAAGGATAATCAAACCATCTTCATAAAATTACTATGATACAAACAATTAAAACTATGCTTCATTCTATATTTAATATCACCTAGAAGAAATAGTGTTCTACAGTTTTTTAAATAGACAATTAGTCTATTACCTATTAACAGATTGCAAAAATACTATAGAGGTACAAAATAATAGGTAAGAGTGTAGGATCTGGAGGCAAGCTTCCTGGTTTCAAATTCTAGCCCCAGCACATCTCTAGGCCCTGGTTTCCTCATTTACAAAACAAGGGAAATAATAGTAATTATGGTTTCATGGACAGTAAATGCATTAATACATGAAAGTACTTTAATGGTGTCCTGCATATAGAAAACACTTAATAAATATTAGATATTATTACTATTTTAAGTTTCTTTTTGTAAAATTCTTTCATTATGCAAATGTAATTTCCTACAAAAACTTGAAATGCATGCTTTCTTTAAAGGCAAGGCAGCCCTGACCGGTTTGGCTCAGTGGATAGAGTGTCGGCCTGTAGACCGAAGGGTCCCGGGTTCGATTCCAGTCAAGGGCATGTACCTTGGTTGCAGGCATATCCCCAGTGGGGGGTGTGCAGGAGGCAGCTGATCGATGTTCCTCTCTCATCGATGTTTCTAACTCTCTATCCCTCTCCCTTCCTCGCTGTAAAAAATCAATAAAATATATTAAAAAAAATAAAAGCAAGGCAGATATATATAATAGATACATAGAATAAAAAGCAGTTAGATAGACTCAATGACACTTTTATTAACTAGCCAGGATACATCATGTTTATTTCATTACGTTCTGATAAGACTGGACACACCATCCAAATTGTTATTTATATTGAATTTCACTTATCTTCAAAAACCAGTTACAAATTATTCTGTGACAAATTAAAGGTACGAATTCAGTAAAGTATCATTTTTTAGACTGATAAAGGTTAGCATGGTAAAGAGCAAAAGCTAGAGAGTAAAATAACTAAACTGTGTAGATATGCATACCTTAAGGTTTCATTTCAAGCTGAAAGGCAGTCAAGTAACTCATTAACTCACATCTTGTGCTTTGGTCTTATAGGTTTTAAAAAAAACACACCAGCCACTCTGAAGAGAAGTTATTAGGTATAGGCCGTATAGAGAATTTTTGGCAGGTAAGGCAAATATAGGTAACCTGAAATTTTGGAGGTAATGGAAAGAGGCCCTGGGAGACCTGAGAAGGAAAGTTAAACCATGCCCATTTAAAATTTGCATGACCTTCCAAATCACCACTACTTTCATTTCTCCTCCTCTACTTAGATTGCACTCATGGTTCTAAATCCAACTCAATAATCAATCACTTCCTCTAAATCTTTCATAATACCACCCATTTGATTAATCCATAGTCCCATAGTACTTGGCCTATACGTAATTCATTTATACCTTCTTCATGGAAGGATTGTGAAGCAGTGAATAAGAACACAGGTTTTAGAGCTAAGCTTCCTGGTTCAGGTCCTGACTCCACCAGTGACTAATTCTGCATTCTCAGGCAAATAACCCTTCCTTCCCTGTAACTGTTTCCTCATCTGTAAAATAAAGGTAATACCAGAAAAGGCTAAATGTAACACTCTTTTCCACATTTGTGTATCTCTGATATTGGGGTACATTTTATAATTTACATTAAAATGATGCCTTATAGGCACTGTAGATTTGATGACCTATGGCCACGGTGTAGAATTTCTGTGAGGATCAAATACATAAATACACATAAGGCAGCAAAAAAAAATAAGCATTTAATATATACATTTTTATTAAACTGCAGTTATTTACATAGTTTCCCCACTACTAGTTTAAGGATAGATCTGACAATCTCCTTCATAACAGACATCCATCTATCTATTTCAGTGATGGTGAACCTTTTGAGCTCAGTGTGTCAGCATTTTGAAAAACCCTAACTTAACTCTGGTGCCATGTCACATATAGAAATTTTTTTATATTTGCAACCATAGTAAAACAAAGACATATTTTTGATATTTATTTTATATTTTTAAATGCCATTTAACAAAGAAAAATCAACCAAAAAAATGAGTTCGCATCATCTCTGACACGCGTGTCATAGGTTCACCATCACTGATCTATTTAGTCCTCTGTGTCCCTAGCAACTACAAGTGTTTGGCATAAAGTAGCCATTTAAATATTTCTTGTCATGTTCACTTCTGTATCATTCACAGGGTCAAGGTTTACTCTGAACCCAGGATGTGGTTAAAAATATAATTAAAAGGTGCTGTGGCCATGTTGCCTCAGTGGTTAGAGTGCCAGACCATCAGAGGGTTTTGGGTTCAATTCCTGGTCAAGGGCACGTATATATGTGAGTTAATGTCTTAGAGCTATTAAGAACCAAGACCTTTGATTAAGTCCAGTGTGCCGCCTACCATATTAGCTGCATATAGAAATGACTAACCTACTTACATATTTCTTTAAGCCAGAGTTGAAACTACTAAATTATAGGAGTAAGCCAGTGATACCATAACCTATTCATCATATTGTTAAACTTAAATTTTTTCCCATTACACACAAAATTACTAATGATGACAAAGAATAAAAATTGTTGGCAGATAATACAGAACGGCAACAAAGAAACACCAAACTCTGTATTAGGGCTGTCTTTGAGTTTACCCCTAAACCCTGTAGGGGCCCCCTAGATGCTTTCTTCTAAAAACATTTTTTAAAGCTAAAATGGGTGTAATACAATTTTATATAAGTAGTGTTCTCCAAATGCCTTTCTTTTGCTATGCCAACCTCTCCTGCTTATCCTTCAAGGTTCATCTCAAACTGTTAACCACCTATGAAGTTTCCCTATTTGGATCTTTGCTCCCATGGCCCTAGAAAGAGGCAAATACTCCCTATCTTCTGAGCTTCTACATTACCTTGTCCACAGCTCTTTTTAGCT